TTATCTCACACAGTTTGCATGGAAGATAAATGAGAAATTATAGACAAGAGACTTGGTACATAATAGTCAATAAATAGTAATTATTATTTTAAAATAAAATCTCCCTCTCCCTCTTCTGCCTCTTGTCTATCTCTGTCTCTCCTTGTCTGCTCACCCATCTCTCTACAGTCACTGAGATCTTGCACAATAATCCAGAGGGAAAAACCCTATCCTGGCAGTAGCCCTGCTATCCTGAGGCTGCGGAGACTTCTCAGTAAGACGAGATCCTCCAGCCTATCAAGCCTTGATGTCTATCAAGTCATCGCCTCTGCTTGGTTAATCTCTGGTAAAGGTTAAGTGAAGGCTCAAGGAAATGTCTTGTCACAATATTTACATGGACATTTCAGTCTCATGGTTCACAGTGATGCCAGCATCACAGATCATGTTTGTATATTTATATGTTCAAAACTATGGTGACAAACTATTGCAATTGAGCTACATTCCAGTCACATGCACAAACCACACACAGATACTTGAATGCATGTGGAAACATAGGGTCTGTAGACAGAAAAAAAAGTTACTTTACTATAATCTGAAGCAGTCACCTGAGAACTGAAGGACCTAGCGTCTATCACTTTGTATGCCTTTAACAAGAAACAATTGTATTTTTGTGTACAACTCTGCTTTTTAATTGTCAAAGCGAGGACAGGTTGAAGTAAAAGATAAAATATAGCAAAAATACAGTCCAAATATTTTAATAAAAGATTAACTGGCCATACCCAGAGGAGCTCCTTCTCTGAATTAAAAAACAAACAAAAAAATCTCCCCAAATGTACTTCAAAAACCCTCCCAGGTCCCTGAGAAAAGAAGCTGAGTTGAGGTCCATTTTTCCAAGAAGCTCTGGCTCCCCAGGAGGAAAGGTGCCCTTAGCAAAACCGGGGCTCTGATTCCCAGCTCAGAGTTCGCTCAGCCTCACCAGACTGACTTTGTGGAGGTGTGTACTCTGCCTGTCCCACAGCTGCAAAATCCAACCAACTGTTCACCTTCACAGCAAGGGACAGCAGACAGTCCCTTGAGAATAGAATGGATTCTCTGACCCATTTCAGGAGGAAATGGAAAATGGAGTTTATTTAAATTTTCTGGCCATCTGAGTCTGCGATGGGTTTTCTAAACAGGCCAATGGCCAAAACTTTTCAAAATTTTCTGTTTTCAACCTATGTCTCATCAGGTATGAATGCTTGGGTGAAACCAAAAAAGTGGAACCTAAGCTCTCTGAGGTTCCATGGCAGCCCTTTGATGCTATAATCTCCAGGCAGAGAGGACTTAACTCATTTTCTTTCATTTGTGAAAACTGAGAGAGGAGACTTGATTAATTAACTTGAATATTTAACACTGTGACTCTGGTCTAATCACATTTTTAAATTTTTCTTTGTTTTTTATTAGTACATGTTTGCAGTACATAGTGATTACACGTATTGTGGGGAGTTTGCATGTATACATAACACATCTTAATTCTTTTACTTTCCCTTTCCCCTCCATCCCTCCACACTCCCTCCAACTCTTGTTCTCCTTCCTAATTTCATTTTTCACAATAAAGATACAAATGTGTACGTATGTGTAATAACTGCTACCGCATTTAATTAAAAATATACTGTATTTGGTATGTCATTAAAAAGCTGTTAAGGACCGGGGATTTAGCTCAGTGGTTTCACCGCCTGCTGCGCAAGCACAAGGACCTGAGTTCAATCCCCGGTACCAAAAAAAAGCTGTTAAGTAGTCATGCTGAAGGTAGTTGGGGATCCTGAAATCCTTTACCTCCACATCTCTCCTTCTTTCTCATAAAACACTGTTTTACATTAGCTTTTTTTTCTTGAGTTCACAAACTCTCTTAGTGTTGCAAGTTATCTTTCTGAAGACAATGTAACAGTGTCTCTGCCCATCTTAGAAACATTAATGAAGAGCTACCCAAGTTGTCCAAGTTCACAGCACCACTAAGAACTCCAGAAGCTGGAACCAGAACCAAAAAAATAAAAGCCTAATCATTCTGCTTATTTAGTACATAGGCCCAAATAACTAAGCATTTATGTTTTAACAACTTAGTAACCATTTGAAAAATTAATGCATATGTTAATTTTATTTCCTAACCACAGCTTATGGGATGTGTGCACATGCTGAGCACTGTACAAATTCTCTGAATCAGACTAAACATTGCCACTTTTATTTCTTCCTTCACATTGATCTTTACATCTTGCCTTTTACCATAGAAACCAAAAATTTTTTAAAAAACAGCTTCACAAAAAAGATGAAGTCATTCGATAGAATATAGGAAAACCTAATAGTAAAACTACATCATGGTTTATGCATTATTCCATCACTCTTCTCTTGAAGACTTAAAATATCCCTCAGTGCTCCTGAGTTCACTCTAGGTGGCTAAGAAGTTTGGGAATCAAACTCCCCACTGCTCTCATAAAATCAATAGTGAAGGTTGTAACCAAATGACTCAGTGGTTTCAATGTCACTCTTAGGCCACTGGACAAAGAATTATTCACAAAATCATCAGGTTACTGAAAGGGAAAAAAGGACTCAATCCAACATCAAGCAATGGCCATCTACACCTGATAGATGTTTATGAAGGGGGAGGGGAAGAAAGGGCATCATAACAACCACATTTAGTACTAGTGAAATAGTACTTTCTAATCAAAGAAACAAAGAGAAGCTGCTAGAGTTTTCTGAGTTCCCTCTCCATGAAGAGATCGCTCCAGAAGCTACGAGCTACCTTCCAGTATTGTCCCTTTCCTATTCAGTGACGCCAATTAGTAGAGTTTATTTTCCAGTCTCTAACCAGTGTGGCCATGTGTTCAAGTTCTGACCAGAAGAAATGTGAAAACTGCACAAAGATCTATGAGAGGCTGACAGAAGGAAGATGACTCTTGGGAAATGAGATTGTTTTTGTCCTTTTCCCTTTCTCTTTCCTGCTTTCCAGATGGGCAGTGATGGCTGGAGCTCCATCAGCTTTTGGACCAAGAAGTGACCATGAGTTTCAAAGTCACAGGCCAGGATGGGGAGAAAAGCAGAAATATGGGAAGAGTCTAGATCCCAGATGAACATGAGGCCATCACATCAGCCTGAACTTACTGCTTCCCAACATCCTCTACATGAGAAATAAGTCTGTGTCACTTAAAGTTTGTAATATCCTAAATATATCTTAAAGTTAGCAGAATGTTAGGGTTCTCTGTTACTTAAGCCAGAAGTAATCCTAATATGACCCACCACTGAAATTCATTTACAAGCTCTATTTAAATGAAGGAATTCCATTTACCTCAACACAGAGCTCTTCAGTGTGGCAAGAGAACAGTGCTTACTTCTAGGAGATGAGAAGCACCATGGTGAGGACTATCAACCAGGGCCTGAAAACCAAGTTCTCACTGGGATAAAGAAGCTAATGTAAAAACATTCAGGTCTAAAATAACAGGCATAAATGGGGCCTGGAACCAGCCCCACAATGTTAATGGAATTCCAGTTTAATTTTTTTAGGAATAAGCACTTTTGTTAGGCTGAGAGTTTTAGATGCAGCCTGTGGTTTACTAAGACGTGTAATGTTGAGTGAACTCAGAAGGTGACTTGTAAGGCAGAAGGAAGTCCACTGTAATTAAAAAGTGGATAGCAACAGAGGGATTCATGAAGCATTTAGTACAAAACCTCAGTGCTTTACCTTCATTTTTTAAATTGTGATTTGACAATATCCTTCACCTTCAAAATTACCACTAGAAGAGCTGAGAATGTTGCTCATTGGTAGAGCAATTGCCTAGCATGTTACAAGGACCTGTGTTCAATTCCAGCACTTCAACTAACAATAATAATCACCAGTGATGTAAAAGCAAGCCTCGAAATCTTTTCAGTAAAAGACACCAAGGTTAAAGACTAAGAGGTCAGCTAATTTCTTCAACCAAAAAACAAAAAAAGATGAAAAATAACTACATTAAATCAAAATGTTTAAATATTTCTACCTTCAAGAAGCCATGCTGGTGTCATTTAATTAAGAAGTTACATTATCTATAGATTGTGAAAGGGAAATAGAAGGATAACAACCAAGCATCAGCATGTACTCAATCATTTCAGCTTTGGGGCTCATTCTAGGCTGCTTTGGGTCTGGTTGGTTGACTGCAGTTGTATCACAAAGTCATATGGTAAATGGGAAAGATTAGCCAAGGTGGAAAAACCAACTGCAGACATGCCACATGAAGAAAACCATGAGTTACAAAGCAAGAGAGAGGTCAGCACAATCAGGTCCATGCAGAGTAAATGAGAATCAAACCAGGAAGAAAACTTGGCTCCCTGATTGTTTCAATGGTTTTACCTTTTAAAAAATTCATAGGTCTTTTCATTAAAAATAACATATTTGTTATAGAAAAAAGCTTACATACAAATAAGCAAAAAGAAGAAAATCAGTTTTATTTCCATCCTGTCACTGGGAAAGAGCTACTATTAACGATTTAGACTACATCATATTCTTCTAGACCCTTCTAGTCTCCCAGTTATATCTGTATATGTGGGTTCATGTATACACTTGTGTGGACACACAGATAACTATGCATGCACACATATATGCATATGCAAACCTCCATACATACAGACATACACATATGGATATAATGTGTATAAAGTTTTTAACCAAAACAAAATCATACTACACAAACAATTTTGAGATTTCTTTCAAATAATAATCCCGGGCATGATAGTAATACAACACTGTTTAGTCAAACACTATCAAAAAATTTTTATCCCAAGAAAATTATATCAGAATTTTAATGTGAAATATGAGCATAATTACATGATATAGAAATCAATAGTCATTTCCATAAACAAAACTGACTCTTCTGAAGGGGAAAATTAAAACATCACCATTAGGCAAACACCACAGTTATAATTATTACAAGGTAAAATCCACTTTTGGATACTAAAATTAATAGGTGAATCTCTGAGAAGAAACAAGACATTAGCACAGTCTCAAAGGAGCACCCCTGGGATGTTCATTAATTGCATTATAACTTCACAGTGAGAAATCCAGCAGACACTCCCTTAAGCTGTATCCAGTTCAATATCGCCAGTATGAAGACAGCAACATCAGGTACCTCCTGATACCATGCACTGAGAGGGACACATTACCTGGGTAGTAGTCTGTCTAGAATTTCCTAACTTCAGACTTTCATGAGAAAACATCAGACCAACCCAAACTGAAGAGCATCCTACAAATAACTGACTAGTACTCTTCAAAAGAGTCACAACTGCCAAAGACAAAAAAAAAAAACTCCAAGGAATGACCAAATTGGAGAGGAAACATAACTGAATACAATGTGGGAACCTGAACTGGATACTGTGACCAAAAAGGGACATCTGTGGAAAAACTGATGAAATCTGAATAAAGTCTTAATTTTGGCTAATTAAAAAAAAAGAAAAGAAAAAGTGGCTCTTCTTTAAAGTCATTGAAAAAAGAAATGAAAAGCAGGATCATAATTACTCTCTATTCACTGTAATTGCTTTAAAGCACTAACCCCAACTAAGACTTCTAAAAGCATCCTTCACCACCAGATAAAGGCAAAGTGGAGTCAGAGATTCTCAATTAAAATTGAGCCTTTCATCCTTTAATTGTAGAGCAATAAAGAACCTAGTGTTACTTCAAATTAGACATGCAAATGAATGTACACACACACAATCTGAGGACACAATTGATAACTATTTACATTACCTAAAAATATCTTGGAATTCCTCCTTTGTGGTAAAGCTCCACCAGATGCCCCTCTTACCTTCTGAAAAGAAAATAAGAGATCATTAAAATGCAGCCTATGAAATAAAGTTTGCAAAGCAAAAGCACCCCATTTGTAGTCAAAGTTGTATGAAAAGTTCCCACCTTTTATAACTGTTAAGAACTATTCAACTGGAACAGAGATTCCAGGATAAACAGGAGTGTAAGTAGAGCACAGTACCGCTGCTGCAACCGATTACTCTCACCACATTCTACAGAAACCACTTCAGGAAAGGGAAGTGGACATCAAAGGCCCAGGTAAAGTAGATGCTTAAACTTCAATCGCATGTGCTCCCAGGAAGGCTGGAGTCCACGTGAGATGAGGAGAGTGGGAAGATAGTCGTGGCTTCAAGAGGTCCAAATTGTGTTCCCCTCCTTACCCAGGGGACCCCCAGCTCGGTCCTGTGTATGATCAACAACCATTGCTGAAGGATTTAATAAGTGTCTATATATCATCCTGATACCCTGATCATATGAAACCTTCTTAAACATTTCTGGAGCGTGTTACATGACTGTGTTTGCCATCTTAACCTTGATGCATTTCTGCCTAGTGTGGAAGTCCCCAGAGCAACAAACATATGCCCAGCACATGAGGTCATTCATCAGATGCTTGCACAAGTAATTTTACTTTCACATAAGATTATAATAATTATAATAATTTCAAGTGGCCAAGATAATTTCCACACTGCATTCTTTCAGTTATTAAAAAAGAACAAGCTTCCAACCACCATATTGTGTGGCGGGGGGGGTCCAGCCTCAGCATCTTTCGAAGCAGTCACAAGCCTCGAGACTTTGTTGCACATTTGCTACTTCTTTGTCTTAAGAGTCCTAAGTCTCCTGTCCCACATTTGATCATCTGAAATCAAAAGCCAACTCTCCGTGCTTCTCAGAGTAAGTTTTTATAGCTTCTACTACAGGTTTACAGTTCACATCTTAGCAATCTCATTATTATGGCTCACTTTTGCTCAAAAACCTTTGTTTATTCCTTACCTACTGGCATTTCTAAGGTGCCATTTGGCCAGCCTATCTTCTTTCTCCAAAGATGTTCATCTTCACATTGGTGTCATCCATATCCTTCATAAGCATTTTTTTTTCTGTCCCTCAACACCCCAGGACTTGTGTCTTGGAACCCAAACCTGTATCATATCTTGGGGGGGGGGGGTACCAGAAATCGAACTCAGGACCTTGCACTTTCCAGGCAGGCGTAGTGCCCCTGAGCTAAATCCCCAGCCCTCATCCATATCCTTCTTTAACCATTTTTTCTAAACTGATGACTTCTAGGTTAACAGCTCTCCAAAGGTGAAATCTGACCATTTAACTCTGACCTGGATTTTATTGTTCTTCAACATCTCATAAGTGCCCTCAAGTTCAGTGTACCCAAACTGTACTCTCCTCTTTCTCAAAATAGTCCTTCTTTGGGAATTCCAGAGACTTAGACATCCTTTGGGTTCTACCTTCCTTCTGTGTCATGTTGGTGACTACGTCTTGTTATCTGGGCTTCCCAAATAGCTCTGAAGTCCTTTTCATCCCTACTATTCTTACTGAGTGCTCGATATCCCTGAAAAGGACTAGTGCTACAGCTTTGTAATGAATGAACTGGTTAAAGAAGGATATGGATGACACTAATGTGAAGTAATGTGAAGATGAGTATCTTTTGGAGAAAGAAGACATGCTGGTCAAATGGCATCTTAGTAAATGCCAATAGCTAAGGAGTAGGCAAAGGAAGGCACCCTACTTTTTAAAATGCAAAGACATCCAGAAAGAAGGAGGAAAGCTGAGAAAGGATGATGCCAAAAAGATAAGAGAGAAACAGTTTCAATGGAAAGTAAGCTCAAGTATTCGAATACTCAAAATGTCTGGTAGCATCAGAGATAAAACACATCCACCAAGTACTACAGTATGCAAGAGCTCATGGACAATCTTGGCAATTTTGTGGATTAACAAAAATCAATCAGACTTCAATCCTGAGTCCTAAGGGGAGATGTAGCAGTGAGTATGCAAAGAGAAAAGGTTTTAAAGAAGCTTCACTTAAAGAATATGACTGCAGAAGGACACAAATTACAAGGATAGTTTTGTGGAGGATTCTAAGGTGGAAGAAAATAAGCCAGGAGAAAGAGAAGCTGGGGCTGTAACACAGGTGCAGTTATGAACAAGCAAGTTGGTGAGTTAGGAAGAACCAGGACCATGAGGACAGATATATGACAGCTTTCTGCTGAAGTGGGAGTGAAACAAATGTGGAAATGGATGCAGAAAAGCTCCCAGGACACAAGAGGAAGTTATATGAGTTCCTGTCCCTGGGTCCCAGTTTTCTCTGTAATGTACAAGTCAAAAGAGTTTTCTGAGGGCCGGGGATTTAGCTCAGTGGTTCCACCACCTGCCTCACAAGCTCAAGGTCCTGAGTTCGATCCCGTGTACCAAAAAAAGTTTTCTGAGAATGATAAATACTGATAAAGTTTTGAGGAAAAAAATTCCAACGTTCAGAGGGGTCACCAGGAGAGTGGGGAGGACACAGGCAGTAAGAGGACCCAACAGAAAGAGGAAACTCAGAAGTCTGACAAAGTACCTACTATCCTTTGGATGCTGTTTACTACCCCACCCCTAAATATTCCTGTGTTGGAGGCTTGGTCCTCAGTGTGGTATGGGTAGGTGGTGGGACATTTAAAGATGAGGCTCAATGAGAGCTCCTTAGGCCAACAAAGCATGCCTTAGAAGGAATTATGGGACTCCAGTCTCTTTGGCTTCCTGTTTCACTTCCTCCACATACACACCATCATCAGCCATTTTTCATGGGGTCCTTACCAGAGTCTCCCTTAGGTATTTCATTATAGTAATGCAAAACAAACTAACGTAGTCCCAGATACCACGGTGGTAAGGGGGTTTCCAAGCAATCTGTGCATAGAAAGGGAGAGATTGCTCAATTGGGTCAACTGGTTGGAGTTCTGGAGGACAATTAAAGGGGCAAAACAAGAGAACAAGGGCGTGTCACAGGAATTGTTGAAGACAGAATGTTTAGAACCATGGGTCATTAGAAGCAAGGTAAACGAGTCACAGGCTAAGAAGACCTAAGGAGGTAGAGTTATGGTTCAAAATGGAAATGAGAACTAAGATACATCATGTTCAGGTACAAACACCCAATGATAAATGTAAATGTATTTTATACCTAAAATGTACCAATAAATATATTTTAAAAAATGGAAATGAGAGAGTGAAAGAGCAAAAATGAGTGGAGGCTGTAGTCAAAGAGTGAAATGTTTCACTTAAAATTTTAGACATAGAGCTGACCGTATAAGATTACCAGCATTCCACAATGTTGCCACTGACTTTGTGACCCTGAGCAAGGCTCTCAGCTCCAGTTTCTTTTTTTTCTTGCTTGAGTTGCCTAAAATTGTATCTCTTTACAATAAGATATATGGGATATAGATAGATAGATAGATAGATAGATAGATAGATAGATAGACAGATAGGAACTCCCTAAGAATTTCTATGCAGCACCCAAGAGGACTAGTGAACATAAATCTTATCACATCAGACCAAAATTAAACTATTTTAAAGCTAATCTTTGCATTTATGGCTTATATGACCTCCAGCCTTTCTCTTAAACAGAGTACATATTAGGTGAACTAAAGAGAGAGATTAATAAAATTCAAATCAGATTTGACTAGAAGATAAAATAGTCTACAAATTATTAGGACTATAGAAAATGGACATTTGAAAATTAATAATATACCTAACATCAATAAACAATTAAATATGTAAACAATAAAAGCAGTAACATGAGTAACAAAAAGTATAGGGTACCTTAGAAATCTAGCAAAATATAAATTCCTTTGCAGAAATTTCAATATATTATTGAACTATAAAAAAGAATAAAGAAATATGCCAGGTTGAGTGGTCATTCAATAAATACTTCTGATGCACTTACTATGAGTTAGACATTATAAGATGCTTATGGACACAGGAGTGAATACAGGAGATGAAAAATCCATGCCCTCATGGAACTTACATGGTATGGATTATACATTAATCTATAAATTCAATGTGACTGTGACCTAAACCTCAACAGTATATTTTTTAACTAGATGAACTGATTCCTAAGTTCATTTTAAAAAAACAAATGTCTAAAAATACCCAAGAAAGTCCGGGAAGTGTTGGTGAAGCTGAGAGGAAATAGGAATTCCTAATCATTACAGTTAGGAGTATAAATTGCTACAATCACCCTAGACAGACTGAGCTTCATCTAATAAAAATGAAGATAAATACACCTATGAACTAGCAATACCACTTCCAGATATGTTTCCTAAAGGAATTTTGCACATGTCCCCCCAGGAGAAATGTATGGAAATGTTAGTTTCTGCATTGTTTGCAGTAGGAAAAAATAGAAACAATTTAAGCATTCATCAATACAAGAGTAGAATAAATTGCAAAGTACTCATAGGCTAGAGTAACAAATAACTACTAAAATTAATTAAGTACACTCAGATGCATCTCAACATTCATAGATTCCAAAAACAGCACTGAGTGGGGAAGTGCTACACAGAATTATAGGCAACAGGGTGATAGCTTGTAATTACATCCTTAAAATATACAAACTACATATTGTTCGTGAACACACAATGTAAATCAACTATAATGACACACAAGGGAACAAAAAGCAACAATTCACAGCAGTGGTTACTTTGAAAGGAAGTCCCTTACAAAGGGACTCGAATTTTCAGGAAATTTATATTTCTCTCACTAAAAAGTAAAAAAAAAACAAATAGCAAAAACACTCAAATGTTTTGTCACTGCTGACTTTTGGGGATCCAAAAGAGAGTACCTAACATTACGTATTTTCTATACTTTTTCTGTGTTTTTAAACTTAGATTATCTTTTTTCCCATCGGTCAACCCATGTCCTCTTAACAACTCCAGTGAGGAGTCCAGAAGAAGAGGAAAAGTGGCTAAGATGAAGATCGGGGAAAATCTGCCACTTTCTACACACCATGCTGTTTTTGTTTTCCAACATAAAAGAGAATGAGAAGAAGTTATATGGACACACTAAAACCTCCATGTATCAAGCACACTAAGACAATGTTGCAGGGAAAGTATGGAGGTCATTGCTCTACAAGTGTGTAGCTCACCTCTTTCACATGTCTTTTTAGGTGCATGTAGACACTCTGTCCAGTTTTTCGAAAATGTCTTTCAACATGTTCCCTTCCAAAGGCCAAAAACGTATTCATGCATACATAGAGTCCACCTTCAGAGTTCTAAAAGAAAGAGACAGAACAAAACATTAGCCAAGGACACCCAGCCAAGTATGTAGTCTAGATATAGAAAAAGGAAAGGGAAAAAGAGGCAGACAATGAAGACAAAGTCTAGCTAAAGGCCTCTATTACTCGTGTAATCATCTGTGATGACCCCTCCATGGCCCCAGAGCCACCCACAATGACAGTTCCTATGCCAACTCTCAGCTGCAGGAGATTCCAGGCAGCCAAGCCTTCAATTTACCAAATACAGGCTACATTCGCAGTCAGGTGAAATGCAAAGAGTCCCTGCAAAATAAATATGCTTGCCTGACTTTAAAAAGGGATAAAGAAAGTTAAAAGATGGAAAAGGTTGGCAAAGGATCCAGTACTATCATTACTGTCAGATTTTATCATTTTTTCCTCATTCATCTATGCACATCTCCAGGAACATAAAATTTTAGATCCTTGGGCCGGGGATTTAGCTCAGTGGTTCCGCCGCCTGCCTTGCAAGCGGAAGGACCTGAGTTCGATCCCCGGTACAAAAAAAAAAAAAAAAAAATTTTAGATCCTTTTAAGTTTCTTCAAAGATATTCATTCCAACATTTAGTGACACACAAGTAAAATATGACAATTTAATAAGTACATAACTTGAAAAGTAAATAATAAAGGGTGTGTTCCTATGATAACCATAGCTACATACTATTGCATGCCAGATATGTGTCAGGTGCTTTACACAGTATATTATTTCTAATGTGAATCTCTGCAAGATGCTTATTAGTATTTTTATTTTCTAGTTTTGAAAAAACTAAGAGTAAGTCATTTGCTCAAGTTCACCAGCTCAGAAGTATCAGATTTCGATTTTATCTACTTCTCGTTTTCTCTTCCTATGCACATTTCAAAGCATGTGCCATTGTCTCATTACAGAGATAACAATAAAATAAAGAGTCAAAGATACTTCTTATATTTTAAATACTTAGTGTTCTCTTAATTTCATCTCTCTTTTTCTCTTATTCTGCATAGCATGCTTCTCTAAAGACTATAAAAGTAGCCACCTATCCTCTAAGGAAGTGGATTTTATCAAATTCCTGTTAATCTCACCCCTCCAAATAATGAAAAACAGACTTCTGAAACACCTGTCAAAATTACCAACCAACATCTATCAAAATTCATAACACTGCACTCTAATGTAGCACAAATTACAATATCAAAACCAACACTGTTATTCACTACAAATATGTAAAAAATAATTCTTTAAGTTCCAATAACTCAAGATTAATTTAAAAGTGAAAATTTATAACAATGTATCTAGGATTTATAAGCCAGGATACAAAAGAATCCTGCCACAGAAAGAACATTATAACAGCATTAGCTCATATATGGGCCCCTTACTATAGCATGTATATTATAAGGTAAAAAGTAAAAAGGAAGGGAGGGAGGAAAGAAGGAAGAAAGGAAGGAAAATATCACATACAAAGAACTAAAATGATCTCCATTTGATTTTGACTATATAGTTTATATGGAAGATCCTACAAAATCTACAAACTAGTGAATTTAGCCAGGTCATAGGACACAGGTTAATAGGCAAAAATACGTTGCAATTTTATATATTAGCAACACACACTTGCAAATGAAAGTCTCAAAACTCAACTACAAAATAGCATCCGAAAACATAATTATAAGGCAGTTCATCATACAGGAGTTTGGGCTCCAGTGATCACTAGAACCATGGGTGTAGCAACAATTCCTTCTCACAGGGGAATCTGAAGGGGTGAAGTTTAAAGGGGATGAAACACATTAAAGTGCTTTCTGTTCTTAAAGCATTACTTAAACACTGATTATTAATTATTGTGGGTAATTATAATTATCCTATTATCCTAATCATTTTTAATTAGGGGAAATAAGCAAAAGAAAGAATAACTTATTCTGATAGCCACACAAGCTGGAGAAAACAAATTAAATTTAGACAACTAGTGGAAGAAGCAAGACACTAGCAAGCAAAAGGAGAAAAATGCTCAAGTGTATCTTCTGAAGAAAAATACACACTTGCTTTACACTGCAAGAGCTCATAAAGTAATATATGAGATTAAAGTCTTTGACAATTTCATTGTTAAGATGTGTTGACTTGTTAGGGAATCTGACAGAGATTTAATATATCAAGCATTCATTCTCAGTTCCTGCAGTTGCCTGATATTGTCACAAAGCCCATAATCAAATAGGAAAATTTGATTACAGCCACCTAGGGAAGGGATCTATTAGAAACATCCACAGGCATCTTCTCTGAAGCAGGCCACACTATGAAGACATGCCCAATGGGCCTGACAGCAGTTTTAAAACTTAAGGAAACACTGAGACAGAAGCTCTTCCAATGCGGCTCCATACGGAATGAACATCCCAATCTAATGATCTACACTTTCTTCCCTTTTGCCTTCCTAATAATTAAATATGAGTTCTATAATATCTGTTCTTTCAGATTCAACATCAGCACTCCTGTGCATTGAATAGCTTCATTCAATAGTTATGACAAAAAATAATAATTATGACAAGACTCGTGAAAAATCTCTCCCAGACCCTTGTGAACAAAACTCAGAGTATGGTATGCAGCCCAACCTCAGAGCTAAGCTGAGTGACCCTCAAAGTTTCAAACCCTCAACTTTGTCTTCTCACTGACCAGCCACCCACCCCTAGGATCATCGCCCCCAGAAAAAGCAGTACAGCACTTGCCTCCAAATGATCAAAAACGCAACCAAGAAGTCAGGCAGGTTTCAGAACTCCACCAGTTGACAGTGAAATGGAAATGGAAGAGTAAGAGAGTAGAATACAAAATAATGCTTGTTTTAAAGCATTATTTTGTTTAAAGCAATAGCAGTAGAGATGCTCTGTTAAACCAGATTGCAACTGAAATTCGTAGAATATTGACTTAATTTTCAAAAAAAAATAAAGAGTAGCATAAGAATGGAGATTCCAGAAATATATTCATTTTATGATAATTAATTGATATATTTCAAGCCATAAAAAACAAAAACGGGGAAAACAGTTCACTAATAAAAGCTACTGAAGTGGACTGGGAGTGTAGTTCAGTGACAGAGCACCTGACTGGCATTCATGAGGTTCTGGGTTTGAGCCCAGTTACTAAAGGGCTGGAGGTGTACCTCAGTAGCAGAGCACATGGATTTAATTCCCAGCTAAAAAATGAAAGAAAAAGAAAGAGAAAGTTGCTGAGACAGTAGGACATCAATATAGAAGAAAATTAAACTAGACCGACATCTTAAATTCTGTGATGAGGTCCAAAACATAAGCAATTAAAAAATTTAAAAAGGGGGCTGAGGTGTAACTCAGTAGTAGTGGATGTGTGCAAGGCCAAGGATCCAATCCCTAGCACCAAAAAATACAAAACAACAACAACGAGACAAGAGCAGAATAGCATCTGCACATCTAATCCACTTATAAAGTAGAAAATAACTGCTGGCCAAGAAAATAAAGAATATCGTTAGAGATGATGTAACCAAGTATAAAAATGTAAACACAAATGAGTTTTATAACAAAAACTGTAATGAAACAAATAGAAAACCAACAACAGAAAGAGGAAAGATATAAAGTAAAATGAACAAAAGATTACATCCAAACTATGTAAGAAACTGATAAAAAAAATTATAGGATGTCAATATTCCAACTTAGTAAAGAGTTTTTTAAAAACCATTTGATTTTAAATGTGCAAAAAAACATTAAAATTAAATCATCACATCTTTACAACCCGCTAACATAGGCACATTAAAATAATATCAAGGCATATGCCCAACTAGCAAAAAGTTATTAAAACCACAGACCCTAAAACCACATAGAAAACCCATATAGCTATCCCCACAGAACAAATCAGTTCAGTCATTCCAGACAGCAATGAAACTGACCCTTTGAGTTAGACTTCAGGAACACAAAAGAAAGAGAAAATAAACCCGAATTTGTAAATAAATATTCACAAATGCTCTATTTATAATAAGAAAAAGTAGCAATGGTCATAAATAGAGAAACTAAGAAACCATGGTGTATAAGCACAACAAAAAACATTACTTACAATGAGAAGCTTATGAAGAATATGTAGTATGTATAGGAAATGTGTGCAGAATTATGTATAATAGAGACAGAAATTAATTTTAATGAATAAAGAACACATCATGCCGACGGCAGTGTTTTGGGGCTGAGGGAGGGAATGTTGCACGTTGGCCAGGGCCTGAAGTGAAGCTGGAAAGTGATGACCCATTCACATTTACTTAAGTTCTTGCCTTTTGGGTCCAGAGCCTCAGGTCTCACTACATCCTTGTTGGTCTAGAATGGTGCTTCTCAAACTGCTGCCATGAAGGACAAGGCTGTTGTTTGATTTGTTCTGTCTCACTTCTATTCATTAAGAAAAGCCATGTGACCAGCTGGTTCGCAGCTCAAGCCACATATGCACATTTGTGCACGTGCAAGTTTCACAAAAGCGAAACAGGTCTCTCTCCTGCTCCAACAAACCCATGGACCAGGAGGTGGCTGCAACGTCAAGTTGCCATAGAAATCTAAATGTTCACTCTTAGTGTTGGCACCCACCTCTTGCCAATGGTCAGCCCCCATGCTTTGAGTAGCCCTGGTCTGGAGTTCAGTGAACCCTGCCCCACTCTAAGGCAGTCTCAACATGAGCAAAGCATCACCTAGGGACTTCTGGCCGTGAAGTCAGTCTGCTAGCCTTGATAGTAGCCCTCATCGATACCAGACACACAGGTCAACATCTGTTAGACTGTACATGTTCCCCAGATGCCACACACCGCCAGCCTCTGCCCCTGACCTACACTCCATCTCCTGGACTAGACCCTGTTTGACTGCCCTTAACCACAAATCCACTTGCATTTCATCATTGTAGGCACCCTGCTCATTGAGCTCCATGGCTGTGAGGAGCTTCTTTCATGTGGAGTCATCACCTTTGGAAGCTCTTTTCAGGCAGGAAAACCATGTCATATTCCTAACTGAATTCCCCAAAACAGTATCTTATG